TTTTTGATACAGTGTCAGAGTCCACATTGCAACTACTTGCTGCTGGTTGTTAAGTGCAGTAACAAAGCACTATATCCCCGTTATCTGAAAAGGTTATGAAAACATTCTGACCTTTTCCAACTATGTATTATTAAAAAACAAACAAATAGAGCTGGAGGCGTGACTCAGTGGTAGAGCGCTTGCCTAGTAGGTGTGAGGGTTTCATCTTCAGCACCACATAAAAATAAATAAAGGCCTTGTGTCCATCTACAACTAAAAACTATCTAAAACAATAAACCCAGAACAGCCTATTGCAACAGACTGATTGCAGCATAAGTAGGAATTCTGTGATCTTGTGGTGCACAGTAGTGCATGCCTATAACCTCTGACTCAGAAGGCTGAGGCAGGAGGATCACAGGTTTGAGTTTTGCCCAGACTGACCTCTTTCCAAGTTGCCAGGTCAGCCTGGGCAGCTTGGTGAGACCCTGGCTCAAAATAAAAATAAAAAGGGCTAAGGATGTAGCTCAGTGATAGAGTACCCCTGGGATTAATTCCTAATACTGGAGGGGAAAAAAAAAATCCAGCTATCTTCCATTAAGGCAGACAGTGAGAAACTTCACAAAAATTATTATTTTTCATGAAATAGGTATTTATGTTAAAATTTTTAATGAATTTATGTATTTATTTATTTGGTACAGGGATTGAACCCAGGGGCATTTAACCACTGAGCCACATCCTCAGCCCCTTTTCATATTTTATTTAGAGACAGGGTCTCATTGAGTTGCTGAGGTTGGCTTAAAACTCGAGATCCTCCTGCCTCAGTCTCCCAAGCCCCTGGGATAATGTGTGAGCCACTGTGCCCAACTATTTATTTTAAACTAATGTACTTTTAAATTTTAATTTAATTTCTAATGTAGTAAATATCAGTAGGTATAATCCTCATAAATAATAGCACTTAAGCATCCTCACTGAGTTTTTTAAGAGGACAAATAAGTACAAAGGCAAAAAAATTTGAGACCTTCTGAACTTTTCCCCCACACAGTGCTGGAAATGGAGCCAGGGCTTTGCACATACTTTGCACAGGCATGTGTAGCTCCACCCTGAGCTGCACCCCATCCCAGAGACCTTCTGGGCTAGTTTGTCCTTTCCCCCGTGATTCGTTGTGCTGCCTTTGTCACAGAGCAAGTTGCTGTCTATTCACAAGCTCCTACAGGGTTGCGTGTCTTTCTGGGCCAGCACCATATTGTCTTACCTGTTCCCACATCATAATCAAACAACATAATACAAAAGTAATATATGTTCAATACAAAAAAAATTTTTTAATAGGACAGAGTTAGAAGAACGTAAAAAATTACCCACTAGAGATAAACTGTTAATATTCTGGCGTTCAGCTTTACCTTCTCTATATGCTATATTTACAATTCATATTTGCATACATGCACTCATGTATACACATACAATATATATGTATACATACTTTTTTGCATATATGTGCATTAAAGAAAACAAAGAAAAATAGGGTCTTACTTTACCTTGTCTTTTGTATCTATTGTTTTATATTCAGTATTATTATATCTTTCCAGCTTCTTAGTGTTCTTCTGTATCATCAGTTTTAGTGTCTTCATGATATTCTGTTTATATGGTTGTACCTGATTTATGAGATCATTTTCTACATTGAAATTTTGGATTGTTCCATTTTTCACTCTTAGTAGCCTGACTTAAAAGTGATTTCCAGCCAGCTAGGTGCAGTGGCCCATGCTGTAATCCCCTCGACTTACAAGGCTGAGGCAGGAAGGTCACAAATTCAAGGCCAGCTTCAGTATCTTAGTAAGACCTTATCTCAAAAAAAAAAAAAAAGAAGAAGAAGAAGAAGGGGGACTTGGGGATACAGCTCAATGGTGGGCTCAGTCCCCAGGACCAAAAATAAGGAACTTCCTTGCGGCTGAGTCTTCATGCTCATGTGGGATTCCTTAGGATCATTTCCTAGGAGGCCCAAAGTGAGGGCTGGGACCACTTGAACCGGGTAAGGGTCGTGGCCAACAGCTGGACAGGAGAGAGGAGGGAGCAGCTGGTACAAGGGTTTTAGTGGGGGAGAGTCCTTGAGGCGCAGAGTCCTGGCATCACCGCCAGTTTTCATGACTGACGCTCTAGGGCAGGGGCAGGAGGAGGGGAATAAGCCTGTGTGGTGGTGGAGATGGAGGACCTGCCTCACCCACTGCCCAGGGCAGCCAAGGGTTACTGAAAAATGGTTTCCTCAAGGACTGAGAGTCCCAGTGCTTCCACTCCTGCGTGATCTGAAGAGGGAAATATATACTGTAGATCCGCCATTTCTCTGCCTTTAAGGCCTCCCCCTGGCTTGACTTGTTTGTGGACTGTGGACGGCCTAAAAAACTGGGTGGGCGGGGACTCTCAGAGTGTGCCACTTTTTATGACATTTGACAGCCAGCTTGTCAGCTTTCTTTATCATGTGCCTGTGGAGTTGGTGGGCAGTGGGCAACCGCAGCAGTGCAGGCAGCCATGGAAACAGCCCTGGGATCAGAAGACCAATGTGGAGGCCTTGCTCAGCTGTCCCTTATTAGCTGAGTGGATGTGGGGACCTTCTCTGACGTTCCTGGACTTCAGCCTCTGTGACTGTAAAATGGGGCTGGGTAGTGCTGCCTTACTGGATCATTGAAAGGATTAATTTGGGCAGCATGTGTAAGTGTCTGCAGGGTGTAGGACATATGGAACTTCCTAGTAATCTCTTCTGAGTGTCATTTAAGTTTTCCAACTTCAATATCCTCCTGTGATAAATAGGGATAATAATATGTAACTTCTGAGTATTAAATAACAAAATGTTGGAAAGATAAGGTGTTAAATGGAGGGATAAATGTCTTCATATATTTATGTTGCTGGCCAGGTTGACCCAGGTATGTGCAGGTGCTACTGACAGCCACCTGAGGGCTGACATTGTCAGGCACAGCAAATTTAGACTGTGTGTAGTGAAGAGGAGAGTACAGGTTCACAAAGGCAGAACTGGCTATTGTAGAATGTCATTTTATGCTAGGATTAGATTTTAAAACAGAGCACAAGGTCTAACCATAGATAGTTAAAATGGGCTACCCTTAATTTACGGAGTGAGGGTGTAGCTTACATATGCAAAGACCTGGGTACAGCCCCAGAAACACCCCCTGCCACTAAAAACTAGAAAATTTCTGAACTTGTCCATAGAGCATCTCTCAGTTTAGTAGAAACAGTTTGTCCTCCAGCATAGGAATAGATTTCCCTCCTTTTGGTTGAGTATCAGCTGAAATATTGAACTGAGGTTTTGGGGCCTTGCTGAATTAATCTCTTAAACCCCATAGGGCAGGAGTGAATTGGGGACATTCTCTGATTTTCCTGAGCTTCATCAGACATGAGACCTGTGGAGGGGAGGCAGAGTCACACCTCCCATCACTCTTATGCCATGCTCATCCTGGGTCTTGTACTCAGTTCAGCCCTTATTCCTCTAACAGGTATTTATTGAATATCTACTATGTACCAGACTCTTAAGCACTGGGAACATACTGAAAAAAAACCAGACCCAAACCCCTACCCTCATGGAATCTTAATTCTATGGGGGAGGCAAACAATAAATAAGTAAAAACTAGTTTGTTCTATGGAGTATTGGAGACAAAACAAGGCAGGCGTTAGAAAGTTCTGGAGTGGACAGTTGCAATTTAAGTGGGGTGGAATGGGAAGGTCTGCTGGGAAGCTGTGATCTTCACAAGTCCTGCGAAGTGGATACTGGGGCAGAGGCGTGGGTGTGAGCCAGCAGAGAGATCAGCTAGTGCAGAGTCCCTGAGGCCAGCAGGAGGTGCCTGCATGTTTGAGGACCGTGAGGAGCCGGGTGAGGTTGGAGGGAAGGAAGCTGTCAGAGTCACGGGAATGAGGTTGGATGTGAAGAGCCTCGTGGCCATCGTGCTGTCCCTGGCCCTTCCTCTGAGAACCCCCAGGAGAGGACCAGGATCACTCTGGCTTGAGTGTTGAGAAGAGCCTGGAGGAGGGTGAGGGAGCTAGCTGCCAGGGGACTGTCAGAGTGTTCCTTGTGGTCAGCGGAGGTTTGGACCAAAGTGGTGGGAACTGATTAATTCTAGCTGTTTAGAAATCAGGCTGCAGTGTACTTCCTGTCATTGGACGTGGGATATGAAACGGTGAATTCAGGGACGCGCCCAGGTCTTAGCTTGAGTGGAGGGTGGCTGAACTCACCGCTGAGGTGGGGAAGGCTTGGTAGGAGCTGCAGGGGGCTGGGTTGGGGGGAGCTAGATGTGGCGTGGGTTGAGACCTGCAGACACTGGGGGGAGGTGGGGAGCAGGCGGGGGGTGTCCAAACCTGGAGGTGTAAGTTCAGGCTGGAGGTTACTGGGGGATTAACAGGACATAGGTAACATGTAAAAGCAGGAGGTGGGGTGAGTTCTTCCAGGGAGCGAGTATTAGCGGAGAAAGGTCCAAAGGCTTGGGCCCCGGGCTAGCCAGGGTTAGGGGGCCAGGAGTGGGGAAGGAGCCAGCCCTGGAGGCCGGTAAGGAGTAGCCGAGGGCTGGGCTGGGAAGAGTCAGGGGAGTGAGGCGACCTGGACTCAGGTGTGTCAGGCTGAGGGGCAGAGACACCCACTCACTGCTGGAGCAGCCATTTCTTTCTGAGCACCGGCAGGTGTGCAGTGCCACCATGTAGTCAGGTGTGAAAATTCACTGACCCAGCAGCATGTGGGAGTCCAGGACGGGCACTTGGAATCGGGACACACACATCCAGGCCAAGAAAGGCCTGTACAAGGGGCTCTCACAGCCACGCACTCCTCTGAGCACTTGTGAGGATTCCAGGGGAAACCACAGGAGATGCTCAGCTGGACCCGGGAACTGGGGACACTGAAGGGCCAGGCCCCTGCCTTGGGTGCGGAGTGCTGAAGTGCAGGCTCTGGGGCTCGGAGCTCTGGAGGATGCCCCTGTGCACACCTGTCCCCTCGCTCCATTCCTCACCCCCGTCAATGAATCACACCACTCTTGTCATTCCAAGAAATCTTAATTTCTTTATTGTTTGACTTTTTGACTCAACAATTTTTTTTAAACTTTTTGTTTTTTTCTGAAACGTTCTTGTTATGAGCCTTTTGTTTTGTTCTCGTTAAATGCACTCGACCCAAAATTGGTTTGGCATATCGAAAAGGAGACCAAAGAGGGAAGGACTGGGGGTGTGGGAGGGGTAGGAGGCCCGAATGAACAGAGAAGTTGAGGATGAGAGTAGAAAGAGGAACACAGAGACAGCGAGAGAGACACGGGAGAGAGGCAGAGACGAGAGAGGGAGGGCCGGAAACCCAAAAGGAAAATCCAGAGAGAATTGATAAGATTTAGGAGCAAATGAATTCAGGAGCTCAAGGAAGGGAGGAGAGGAGACCAAGACCCTTCTCTATACCGTGGGGGCATCAAGGCACCAGGTCTGGTTGGGGTGGGGGAACACCTAGGCTGTCTGGGTGGCTTTGCGCTGGACTGCAGTGGTGTCCAGCCCCACCAGGGGGCCCTGCCACACAGCTCTGAGGCCTTGGTGACTGATTCCAGCTGGGATGGGGAACCAAGGGCCCAGCTCACCCTCTCTCCCTGTGATTGTCGTCTGGAGAGATGGGGAGGGCTGGCCAGGGGAGAGGAGCAGGACTCCTATGCTTTCCCAGCCCCTCTGGGTGCTCTCGGCCTCCCAGCCCTCTCACTGGCGTTGGATGGAGGCAGTCTCAGGCCTGGTCTGGGCCAACTCCGTCTCCCCTAGGCCGGCCCTTCATGGGCGCTAGCGGCCCTCCAGAGTGAGCCCCAGGCCCAGTGAAGTCAAGCAAGGGCCAGGGAGCCTCCACCCACCTACTGGAGTTGCCTGACAGTGCTGTCCCCATCTTCCCTCTCCGTCCCCATCCCCATCCCCATCTAGCCCTCACCCTTGCTCTTCTGGTGAAATGGGTTAAGACTTTTACTGGAAAAAGCCAGAGATGGAACTCGACCCCACCTTCTCCCCTCATCTCTTCCCCTACATGGGACAAACCACCATCTTTGGTCTGACCCCTTCTCCCCTAATTGATGGGGACAAGCCAGCCCCAGCTCCCCAGGAGAGGGAAGGGGGCTTTCTAGCAGCAAAAAGGGTCCCTCCAGCCACGTACCTGTCCCCTTCCCTCCAGTTCCTTCCTAGAGCCCCTCCCCCTTAACCCAAAGAAGTTCATGGCAGCAGCAGGCTGAGACCCAAAGATGTTTGAAAACTCATGGCACTTGTGAGAAAAGAGGGAGGGGCAAGAGAGGTCAGAGCAGAGGTGGGGGCCACCTCTGGGGAAATGGCAATGAGGGGCTGCGCTAGTGTGGCAATGGGGCTGCGCTACCCACAAAGAGTTGGGGCAGGGGTCTGGGGAGGCCAGGCTGACGGGCTGGAGAGGACGGGGCAGGTACTCAGGACGCATCCCAAGCCCGGAGCATCCGGGTGCTAGGAGTGTGCAGTGGAGGTCTCAGGACAGGAGCGTCCTGACCCCAGGCTTGGTCCCTGGTTTGCCTCCCCTGCAGGGGGAAGGGAACGTGATGGCTCACCTGTCCCCTCCTCCCCCGGAGAGAAAACCACCTCACACCAACCCTCCCTCCTCAGCCACACCTCCGCCATCAAACCCTGTCCTCTACTCCCCGGGCTCTTCCCGCATCCACCTCTCCAGATGGTGAGTCAGCCTCCTCTTCCCTGCCTGCCTGAGTCCCAGAAGCAATATACACGAAGCAGGAACTCAAAGGGGTAGCGCAGCCATCTTGGCAAAAGCATCTTTGGGTGTGAGGGTGTCTCCCCCGGGCCAGTGGGGAGGGGAGGGGAGACAGGCCTCTGGCCTGGGGCAGGCAGTGAGGTACACGCCCCAGGAGGGCTGACTGATGCCAGGGGCAGACAGAGCAGGAAAGGAGGTGACAGGACGGTGCCGGGAAGGAAACGGGTTCTTTGTTTCGCTGTTGCTTCTCGATTTTGTTAGAATTCTGTCTCTGGATTGTAAAAAGCTGCTCTGGCGGCCCGCCCACCCGGCTGGGATGCACATACACGGAGAAGTCCTGGCTGCCGGGCCGCGGTGCTGCTCTGCTCCGGAGAAAGTCCGGGCTGGCCTGGGCCGCAGGTGCCCGGTGGCTTCAAGTGATGAGATTTTCTTTCTTTCTGTTTTTGTTTTTTGTGGTTTTTTTTTTTTGTCTTTTTTTTCTTTTCCATTTCGTTGAAATATTTACAGCAATGGGGGAGGAGGAGGAGGAGGAGAGGAACGGGTAAGAGGGCCCCCTAGGGAAAGATCCAAGCCCAGGACCCACTCCCCAGGGAGATCCAGACCCAAAATCTGCTCCCCAGATAGCTGAGCCCACAGGACTGGGAACTGCCCAAATATGGCCACCCCTGTGGGCTAGGGGCCCTGCGGGGAGTTGTGCTTCATCAGGAGTCACCCCAAGGGAGGGGGTCATTGGGTGCACTCTTGGAGGGCTGAGGGGGCAGGCTTGCTGGGAGGTGGGGACAAACAGCAAGGGGAAAGGAGCTTCGGAGAAAGTTCAACCTTTAAACCACCAGCGGCCACTGCCCGTCTCCTCGGCCGGGGTTCTCCCCTGGGCCAGAGGCCCACATCCAGGGAGCAGGGAACCACCGTGCAGGAGGAGCCTGTCTGTCCTTCTGCCCCTCTGCTCCCTTCTGGTGCAGCCAGAGAAGAGCAGCTGGCAGGCTGGACCCAGTGGGGCTTCTGGCAACCTCAGAAGCTGCCCTCCACCCAAGGAAACCAACCTCACTCCCTCCAGGGACAGGAGGGGTAGGGGGAAGGGAGGAGTCAGAAGTGGGCTGCACCCTGCTAATCTCCCTCCTCACTCCCTGGGGGACTCTGGGCTCCTCCTCACTGCACTTCCCCCAAATAGAGCTGGTGCGCGTGGCTGGTGGGAAACCCTGTCTGTAACCCTGGCACCTTGGGCCTCCACATCAGAGCCCACTGAGGGGACTGTGGGGCCCATGGCCGAGGGGTGTGTGGAGAGAGTGGCCCACCAGCCACTGCCTCCATCAATCTCCCTCTCCCACCAGAGCCCCGCCCAGGTTCCTTCCCTGGCCTGGGCCACCAGCCCCTGGTCCATGAGGTCCCCTCAGAGACTAGTGACCAGCTGCATCTGCCCATCCCCATCAGGCCCTGGCCCCTCGAGGCCTGGGGCTGCCAGGTAGCCCTCGTGGCTAGGCCTCCGCACCTGGTAGTAGCCCTGCAGGGGGTTCCGGGCCACCAGGGCCGGTGGGCGCGAGGTGTAGTAGATTTCAGGGGGGCCAGGAGGTGCGGGTGGGGGTGGGGGCAGGGCCTCACTGGGCCCCTCGGGGCTGCTGTCCGGGTAGGAGGGCGAGTCCCGCAGGTTGGCCCCGCTGGCATAGAGGGAGTCCCGGCCCGGAGGGGAGGAGAGGGGCCGGCTGGTGGCGCCATCCTCCGCTGTGCAGCTCTCTGACTCATCCAGGTCACTCTGGTACAGCACCGACTGGGCCCGGGGCAGCAGCAGTGGCTCCTCAAGGGCCTTATAGAGAAGTTCGATCTCCGCCCGGTCAGCACCCCCGGGCCCACCGGCCTCCTCCTCGCCACCACCCCCTGGTACAGGTGGCACAGGGGGCTCGGGGGGCGGAGGGCCCTTGGCCCCGCTGCTGCTGCCTCGCAGGTTGTTGTGCACCAGCTCCGAGATGATCATCTTCTCAAAGGCGGCAGCATCGGCCAGGTTCCGGCCTCGGGGTGGCTCTGGGCCCCCGTCCCCTGGAGGGAAATCCCCACTTCGCAAGGAGTAACTGTTGTTGAAATTGCCATTAAGGGGCAGGGTGTCCATGCCGCAGGCTTCCCGGCCTCCCAGGGGGTGCTCTGCAGGGCAGAAGGGGCAGGTCAGGAGGATGAAGGGCCTGGTTGCCTCGGCAGGGAGAAGGGTGCAGTCACTGGAGAAGGGGAAGCTTGGTTGGACTGGGTCTTCCCTGGCTCGCCCCTGTCCCCTGGGGACTTTGGTTTCACACTGCCTCTCTTCGTCACCTGCCACAGGGACAACAGCCCGGCAGTAAGTTGGGGGGCCCCTCCCAACTGGAGGTTCAGAATCTCTGCAGTATGAGGAGGCCTGGTTAACTGTGCTCAGAACCTGATCACCTTTATTCCCCACCGGAAGGCCCAAACCATGACCACGTCCACTCGGCGGCCACGCCACAGACTGTGCTGGGCAGGGGTGCATTGTGAGTTCTCCTCGTCCCTAAGGGAGACCATCTGAGAAGGCCACTAATTGTTCCTCTGCCCGCTTTGGAAAAGTAACCATAAAGAGTCATACTTACTAGGTTCCCGGTAGCTCCCTGCAGGTGCCAACCAGGAGAGAAGGAGGAGGTGAGAATGAGTTAGAATGCAGAGTCTAAGCCCAAGTCCAGGGGCCTGAACTGGACCCCCCTGGACCAAACCCCAGGCGGCCTCCCCGCTGGGCTGTTGCCTCCCCCAGCGCTCGGCCTCAGAGCACCCTCACCTGGGGAGTTGAAGACAGGGGGCGACGAGGGATTGAAGCCCACTGACTCGGCGATGAGGGTGTTGTAGGGGCTGGTGCCCCCACGTGGCTGCAGCACAGGGTTGGTCAGTAGGTGGTTCCCCATGGTACCTGCCCAAGGGTTCAGAGGTCACGAGGCAGCCCCAAGACATTGGGGCCAAGAGCCTTTAAGGGACAGGAGCCAGGACAGAAGGCTGCTTTCTCACCTCGGTTGAGGGTGGGGGTGCTATTGATGTCGCCTGCCATGAAGGAGGACTCCGTCTGTTTTCTCACGGTGTCATTCCACATCCTCCGAATTCGGCTCTGGAAACATAGCCCAGACATGAAGGGGTCCTAGGGCCACCCACCCTCCAGCATCACTCTGAGACTGCTTTCCAGACGAACGCCATCGAAGACCCAGGTCAAGCACTCCTCTGCCCTTTGGGTTCTAAGTTCCAATACTCAGTCTCAGGGAGTCCTGCTTGGTGACCTGCCCTGCCCTGCCCCAGTACCTGGGTCCCTGTGTAGTAGCGGGTGTTGCTTCGCATGGCTGAGGTCTTAAGGGAGCCGTGAGTACCCCCTGGTGGGGAACGGATGCAGCAGTAGGAGTGACGCAGGCACTTGCTGTACTCCTTGTGCACCTGGGGGACGAGGGGACAGTCAGCCGTCAGGAGATGCCAACCTCCTTTGTCATCCAGACACCACAGGGTGGCTGGAGAACAGGCTGCCCTGGGAGTCCAGAGACTGAGCTCCCAGAGGGTATGTTCCCTGTTTCAGTGCCTGGCAGGCCACAGAAAACTTGCTGTCATCTGTCCCCCAAAAGCCAACCGTTCGCACTTTCTCTCACTTTCTTCTCACTTGGGCCTATCTTTCTTTTCTCCGCCTCCACTAACCATTTCTCATTCATTCATTCACAAACTCAGCAGCTCTTTAATGAGCATCTGCTATGTGCCAGGCAGAGTTTTGGCCCCTGGAAAAGTAAAGCACACAGTGGGAACAAATCCCTACCTCTCAGTGCTTATATCTTAGCAGACAGAGACAGAATGTGGATAAAAATATAAACACCAGTTGTTCCTTGGTGTCTTTGGAGGATTGGTTCCAGGACCTGCCTTAGATACCAAAATCAGCAGATACTTAAATCCCTTATATAAAATGGCATAGTATTTGCATAACCTACGCACATCCTCCCATACACACACACGCACACACACACACACACACACACACACACATGCATACATATATGTACATACATTGAACCAAGGGCCTCAGGCTGGTTAGGCGAGCCCTCTACCACTGAACTACATCCCCAAGCCCTCTCACATACATTTAAGTCATCCCTAGATTACTTATAACACTGGGATACAATTTGAGTGCTACATAAATAGCCGTTTTAGTGTATTGTTTAAGGCATAACAACAAAAAGTTTGTACATGTTGAGCAGTTTCTTTTTCTAGAGTTTTTTCATGGGCAGCTGGTCACATCTGCAGATGCAGAACCTGGGGATACAGAGGGGCACCTGAATGCCATGCTGCGTGTCGGACAGCAATAGGTGCCAAGGAGAGAACTGCAGCTGGGAAGGGGGTTGGGCAGTGCTGGCGCGTGTGTATTAGTGTGCGTGGAAATAGACCGCAGAGGCCTCATTATGAATCAGATGTCTTGGGCAAGAAATAAGTAGCAGACCCTCAGATACCTGGGGAAGGACATCGGGCCAAGGGAGGAAGAGGGCCACGTCCGGAGGAGGGTCCTATCTAGGTGACCAGGAGAGTAGAAGTGAGTGAGGGCAGAGGGGAAGGGAACCAACAGGGGTGGTCCAACGTATGGGCCTGGGGTCCCTGTGAGGACCTTGCCATGCAAGGACTCCAGGATGATTGTCTGGGCAAGCCATCCTACAGGCTTCTGTGCGTGTGTGTGTTTTAGTGAATGGGGTGGAACCCAGGGCCTCGTGCATGCTGGGCCAGGGCTCTAGCACTGAGCCTCGCCCCCAGCCCACAGGATGGCTTTGAGCGGAGCAGAGAGAGGGTCAACCTCCCTTGCACAGGGATTCTAGGGTCTTGCTTCCACTCTCCCAACGACCTTGCTGTCCCCCACTGCAGCCCAACAACCACCTAACCATGTCCCCTCACTGCCTTCAGGATGCAGCCTAAGCGCCTCGGCTCAGCGCCTTCACTTTGGCCTGAGTATGCCGCCTGCAAGCCCATCTCCAAACTCCCTCGCTGCTCTTCTCTCCTCCATATATGTTTTTTAAGATCCAGATTTTAACACATTTATTTAAAAACAGACCTTTCTATCACCACAGAATTCACAGCTCTTTCTAGAACTACTGAAGAGGGAACGTTCCATGTGGAAGGTGCCCAGTCGTCTCCCACCGCAGGCCCCACACTAGTGGGAGCGAGCCCGCCAGCTGTCTGTCCTGCCTTCTCGCTCCTAAGCTGTTGTACCTGTGATACACACTGGAGGCTCAAAGAGGTACCTGAGTTCCCTTGCCTGCCTCACCTGTGACTGGAAGTCTGAGGATCTCCACCCCAGGGCCCGGATCTCACCTTTTTCTGTAAGGCGCAGTGAAAGACGAAGATGAAGACCCCCTGGAAGGCGTTGAAGGTAGTAAAGAGATAGGCCATGACCACTGACTCCTTGTTGATGAAGAGGAGGCCAAAAGCCCAGGTAAGACCCAACAGGAAGAGCAGCGCAATGGCCCCCAGGGCCCAGGATCTGGGGATGCGGGGGTACAGACAGGTCAAAGTACCCTCCAGGAGAGACAGCTGTAGCCCAGGCCTCCCCCAGAGCCCTGATGCCCCCATGTGGTGTGAGGGGCTTTGGGGTGGGCTGGGCACTATTTGCAAAGATCCAGCTTGGAGCTGAATAGGCCTCCAGCTCCTAACCCAGCTGGGCCTGGTGGGGAAGCACTGATCCAAGTCAGAGTGTGCAGACCTCAGTCACTCCCTGGATGGTTGAATCATTTTGGTAATTTTTCCAAACCACTTAAACTACATTTTATAGCCCATTTTTCTTTTCTTTCTCCCCCCAGTACTAGGGATGGAACCCAGGACCTTGGGCATGCCAGGCAAGCACTTTACCACTGAGCTATACCCTCTCTCTATTTTTCTTTCAATTGCCTTCAACTGGACTCAAGTTCTGAACCTGGCCTCACCCTTGGCAGTTACGGCCCCGATGGCAAGGGCTGGAAGGGTATCACTGTGCTTTCTCATTAAGCAGGCACAAAGTGAACCCATCCGTCTTGATATTTAAAATCACATTTCAGGAAACCCTGGGAGAGATTAGGCCCATGGTGGGGGCCCCAGGGCAGGGGTGTGAGGAGAAGAGACTCACTTAATGTTGTCCAGGCGACTGGAGTCAGGCTTGAGCACAGATGAGCTTCGAATCATCTTGTGCAGGGTCACCATGAGGAACACCAGGTTCACCTGGGGGCAGTGCAAGGGGAAGGGGCTGGTGAGGGTTCCCCCTACTGAGCTGAGGCCTTCAAGCCTTAGCTTCAACCCCTCTTCTTCAGGGCCTCCTGCTGGAGAACCCCAAAGTGCTTGCTGTACTGCAGTTAGCTGACTGCCTAGGCGCTGAGAGGACAGGACACAGCATGCCACGCACCAGGGCTTAGGTCACAATTGCCAGTCTGCCTTGTGCTCTTGGCTGGCTGCTCTTTTTTTTTTTTTTAATGGCGCTGAGGATTGAACCCAGGGCCTTGTGCAGGATAAGGCAAGCTCTACCCGTGGAGCTATGTCCCCAGCCCCTGGCTGCTCAATTCTGACATGGCTTTCAACTAGCACCTCTCAGGGAGGGGGTCAAGGCTAGCCTGGACGAAGGAAGGAGCCCCAGTGCTGGCAGTGCTACCATCCAACTTACCACGATGACAAAGGAGACGGGTCCAATGAAGCTCCAGATGAAATAATTGTCCACTCGCAGCCAGCAGCTGTGAAGGAAATGAGACCAGAGTGGAGAGAATTCAAGAGGCACTTCCCCCAACCCTGGGAGGCCAGACTCTGCTGGCTGCAGCCTCTAGCACCAGGACAGAGGCCACTGGCCCAAGAGACCTAGCCCAGAGGTGCTGCTGAGCAGAGAGCCAGGCGGGGGAAACCCAGGGAATGACAGTGGGACACTCACGCCTTCTCGGTGCCATAGCTGCGGTAGTCAATGGCCGCGGCGATGCCCACCACCAGGGCTGGGAAGCAGTAGCCCCCCAGGTAGTAGTACTTGGTGCGGGAATACTCGCTCTCAAACACCTCCACCAGCAGCAGGTAGAGGTGCACGCCCTCCAGGCACAGCCAGGAGAAGGCGGCCAGGAAGAAGTAGTGCAGCAGGCCGGCGAAGATGGGGCAGGCGATCTGCGGGGAGTACCACAGATGAGGGCGTGCCAGCGGTGCCCCCCCGCGCCCCGGCCCGGGCCCAGCCCACCTCATACTGAGTCTTGTCTATCCCGACCAGGAAGAGCAGCTCGGCCAGGAACAGGTTGATGCACAGGTTCTTGTGGATGGTGTTGCGGTCTGTCTGCAGGCCCCGCAGGAAGCAGAAGGTGGATATGCAGATGGCCAGGCAGACCAGGGAGATCACGATGCCCACCCAAGTGATGACCGACAGCAGCAGCTCGTTGATGCGGCCCTGGTACTGGGGGACAGGAGCAGGGGGCCTGCTCAGGGCTTCTGGCTTTGCACACACCACGGGGCATGCTCAGGGCTCAGCCAGGTGCCAGCTGTGGGCAAGGTCCCGGCAAGGTTGTGGGTCAAAGGGACTTGCAGTGCCGTCCACCCAGCCACCTTGCAAGCCCCACCCCTCTGCAGGCGGCGCGCTCACTTCATGCTCTGGAAGACTTGTGGAGAGATGACAAAGGTGACACCAACTTGCTTCTCCAGAGTGTCTTGGGAGAAGGTGGGACCATGACCAGAGAGAACCAGATGCTTGGCCTCATGCCCCAGGCAGGACTGGCGGCCCCCCACACCTACGAGGCCGGCCTTCCCAGCACCACCCATGCTGCGCGCTCTAGGATGCCATGCAAAGCCGGGCCAGCCCCAGGCAGAGCGCCAGCCAGCTTACGATCTCTCGGTGGGCCATGAGCACAGCGAAGTTGGTGAGGTGGCTGCAGGCACACGTGGTGTGGGTCTTGTTGGACTCCACCAGGCGGCAGCCCTGGGTCGACCAGTAGCCCAGCATGGACCGCTCCGAGTAGTTCCAGAAGGAGCAGTTAGCGTTGAAGTGGTTCTTGGCCTGTGGTGTGGTGGGGGTCAGACCAGGAGTCCTGTTCCAGCCCCCACACCCGGCCACTGGACAGGGACCAGGAAGGAAGAAGTGCCTGGGACATGGGGCCCTGGATGATGGTCAGACCTTGGAGGAGAAATGGTCCAAGCTGCTAAGGTAGGGGTCTGAGGGCGGTTCAAGGGGGGGCTACAGCTTGTTCGGGGGGGGGGCGGTGAGCACGGTAGGAAGGACGTGCAGTCCAGGGAGGGAGGGCGTGCCTCGCTCACCTCCAGGTGGGCAACGGTGAAGATGACAGGGTCCATGAGGAAGACGCGGCTGGATTCCTTGTTGATGGAGGCCGCGATGACCTGGGAGTTCACCACCAGGGAGGCGCCCCCAGGGCCACCTGTGCCGGCTTCGCCCGCCAGCTTCACCGTGGCATTCTCCGTGGACAGGAAGAGGCCCAGGTTGTTGTAGAGGATGAAGACAACTTTGACCACCCCTGGGGAGCACAGGCACAGTGGGATGGGATGGCAGGCCTCGGCTGGCACCCCGACTGGCTCCACAGCCCTCGGCCATGCTGGCCACGGGAGCGCTGAGGCAGGCCACGGCACAGGCAGGCGGGTTCAGGGAGCCCTCTCCACGAGACCACTGATCGGCTCTAGGCAGTCTGGCAGCAGCATGGTGGCCAGGACACACAGGGCCAGTTCTCTGGCCCACTCCTACTCCCCGTGTGACCTGGGGCGAGCCCCTATCCTCTCTGAGTCTTAGTCCCCAAAGGCACAGTCCTCTCTGAGTTCTGAGGGCCAGGTGGGCTGCTGCCCAGGAGGCAGCCCTGCAGACCCAGGGCTCCACAGGGCTTTAAGGCCCACAGATTCCCTGAGGTTCTACGCCAGTTTGAGCACGTAAGGCCTAACGGAGGTTCCAGACCTTCGCCCTTCATAGACTGACAGAGCTAACGCAGGGCTGGAGGACCCCCACCTGAACCCCCGTCAGGGACACTGACCATTGCGGCTGTTCTGCTTGATGGTGTTGGCTGACAGCTGGATGGAGTTCTCGCTGGGGTACTCCTGGGGGAACACCAGCTCCTGTACTTGGCCTTCTGTGTTCAGGACAGTGACCTCCAGGACTGAGGGGATGGGGGTGGCAGGGAGCACACTGTTAAGCTCTGTACTCAGACAGGCTCAGGCTGTCGCATGAGACCCAAGGTCGAGGGCCAGGGAGACCAGCCTCTTCCCATGGCTCTGGGCTGGGCAGGCCCCAGGGTGCAAGACTCACAGGTGTGGTGGGGACGGGGGTCAGACTGGGAGTCCTGTTCCAGTTCCCAGGCCCGGCCACAGGACAGGGACCAGGAAGGAAGAAGTGCCTGGGATGTGGGGCCCTGGATGATGGTCAGATGATGTCACCTTTGGGGTGACAGCAACACTCACCCACATTCTGCTTGGCAGCCAGGAAGCGGGCAGGCTCCCTGACGTTGTCCGCGAGCAGGAAGGCGCCCTCCTCCAGGACGTCCAGGAGCATGGTGGCCGTGTGGACCTGCTCCGTGGCGTTCATATCCTTCCAGGACTCGAGTGCCTCTGGCCGGAGCAAGTTGTCCACCGTCTCCACCACAGCCTGCATGGGCGAGGACAGCACTGAGTCACCTCCTCTCCGCATCCTTGCCCTTTCCCTTTGGCTTGAGCCTCTGCTCCCACGTGTCTCACCTTGATGTAGTCCTTGCAGGTTCTTTCTCTCTTGTGCATCTAGGAGAGATGGAGGCGGGTCAGGCCAGCCCCGGGCACCGCTGCCCTGACCCCACCCTCTTCCACTGGGGCCCAGGCAGCCCACTTTTCTGTTCCTACCACGAACCTGGGACCAGGTCATCAGTAAGAGACATTCCTCAGGGACCCACAACCCCCAGGACCACTCAGGGCAGCCCAGGAATGACACCCAGGGCCCCTGGGGTCCTTCCTCTCTGACAAGGTGCTGAGGGGCTGCTGCCCCACTTGGATGTACCAGCTCAGTCACTTCGGGAGCCCCTGGGGACATGGTCCTTCAGCCCTGCCAGGGGCCCCACCTTGTTATAGTTCTTGCCCGCTGACTCCCGCTCGATGGGCCGCAGGGCCTGCAGCTGGGCATCCAGGATGTCGAGCAGCTGCTCCATCAGCTTCACAGAGGAGGAGACGTCCCCGGCATAGATGGAGCCCCGGGTGTGGCGGGCCAGCTCGCTGGCTATGTTGGCTGCATTTTCTCCGCTCTTAATCTGCGTGAGGTGGGGAGGAAGAGGGACCCCAGGTCTGTCAGGAGCTGTCCACGCCCCCACCTCTCCTCTCCACACGCCCCCCCTCCCCTCCCTCCCTCTGGTCCTCCTCCCTGCCAGCCCCTCCCTGCCCATCTCTAGTCCAGGAGGGAAGCCCTCAGTCCTGCCTTCCAGGGCTGCCATCCCCTCTGTCTCTCCAGTGGCTCCCTCTACCCCTGCTGGGCCCTGGATCCAACTGTCCAGGGCCCAGGAACTGAGTAAATGTGCCTGCCTTTGAGGGGCAGCGGTTGCTGGTACCTTCTGGGCCACCTGGTTGACCCAGGGGGAGGTGCAGTTGCTGAGGTCAGGGCCCCGGGGGTTCCAGAGCCCCAGGGCTGGCAGACACTGGAAGGAGGCAATTCCTGTATGGACAGAAGGACAGGACGGACGGGGAGCCAAAGGGAAGGGGATGGGGAGAGGAGGAGATAGCGGGGCGTGGGTAGGTGAGGAGAAGGTGAGGGGCAAGGACACAGGCGTGAGGCAGGCCAGACAGCGACGTGAGCCTCCCTGTCCCGTAGCGCCTCTTCTGCCTTTGCCTACCAGAGCTAGAACCTCCAGCAAAGCCTACTCCGGCTCCATGAAGCCTCTCCCCCACTCAGTCCCAAGAGCATGTGTCCTTGCCACCTTGGGCACTTCAGATGCTCATCTGCTTGTCCTGCCACTGGCCACTCCACCTCAGCCTGAGGCCAGGAGCCACAGGCCTGCAGGTGACACCAGGGCACCTGACTGAGCTGCTGCTGTGCCCGCAGGGTGGGGGGACTGGGCCCTGTCCTCAGAGCCCCACTCCAGAGGGAAGACAGGCAAGTGCGTCTGTGCTAAGCTGCAAGTCCCTTCCTCCCTGGCCAGCCTTAGCAGGTGGCCGCAGCCCCAACACTCACCTCGAGTCCCCTTGGGGCAAGGCCTCTCCACCAGCATGCCCTGCTGGGTAGCCGGCCACTGGACCCGCCGTACCTCTCGGGGTTCGCAGAAGAGCTCAGGGGACACGTGCAGATTGGGTGCCGGGGGTCGCCGGGTACTGGGGGCGGGGGCTGTGGCTGGAGGCAGGTCTGGTCCCAGCTGGTTAATGGCGCCCACCGGGTGTGTGGTGAGGGGAGCCCGGCGGAGCGGGGTGGTGGCTGCGGGTGAGGCCGTGCTGGTGAGGGGCGTGGGCCGAGCTGCGGTGGTGGTGCTGAGGGGCGGGGAAGTGGCTGGGCCTGGAAGGCAGAGGGGTACAAGACAAGGTCAGCCCAGACTCAGGTCCCAGGCCCATCGTCCCCAGCCATCCCAGCACCTTCCTCACTTGATAAGGTGGGAGGTCTTGCCCACCTGGTCTGGGAGCCCACCTCCCCTGGCCTCTGTGCTCACAGAGGTCCCCTATGTTCATGGGACTGTGTCAAGCATCAAAAGGCACCAAACATGCACGCGTGTGCTCTGGGTCTAAGGAAGCTCCAGTCAGACAGGAGGAGGGGCAGCAGGGGCTGAACACAGCCAACGCCCCTCCCCTCTCTGGTCTGTTACCTGGTGACACCCCTTTCCCTCTGGGGGCCTGAGTCCCCGCCCTTTTGCAAAAGAAATTGGATTAGGTAAGGCTCCCTGGAGCCCCAGGGCTGCTCAGGGCTGGAGCAGGACAGCTGGGGGGTGAAATGAACCTGCAGATGGACCTTGGCCCTGCTGACCATCAGTAGCTCCACTCCATCCCGCTTTACAGATACTGGGGACCCAAGGGCTCCAGGCAAAATGTGCCCAAGCTCCCTGGCGTAGGCAGTGCAGTTCAGTGGTTAGGAGCCCAGACTCCTGGGTTCGAACCCTCAGGTCAGCAAGTCCCCTAACCTCCCAGTGCCTCAGTTTCCTTGTCTGTAAAATGGGGGCAACAACCCCTGTGTTCTCTACCATGAGCTAACATAAGTTAACAACTGTGAAGTGCTTTCTTTGTTTTATCTCCATGGTTCACGTTCGAGCCCACTTCCAGACCCCCAAGACCTCAGGGCCCCCATACCCTGGGACCAAGGCTTTTGGCCCAGAAGTGAGCCATCCTCACCAGCACTGGGGTCCGGTGGCCCAAACTCCAGGCTGTAGCGCACCACAAAATAGTTGTTCCAGACGTAGAGCTGGTTGTCCCGAGGGTTGTAGTCAACAGAGGAGACGAACTGGTAGGGGTTGGGGAAGGCGAGGCTGACGGGCTCCTCGCGGTTGGCGTTGGTGTTGAAGGCGTAGTCCACGCGGTTGCCGGCCGCCTCGCTGTCGTCGTCCACATACACGGAGCGCAGCACGTAGAGCACACCGCACACCATGAAGGCGTTGGACGCCGAGCGCTTGTCATAGCCCGTCTCCCACGTGCCCTCGAAGCGCAGCGTGTAGGGGTTGAGCTGGCTCACCACCATCCGCCCGTTGTTGCCCTCGGTGGCGTAGATGACCCACAGCCCGTTCTCGTCCACAGCCAGGTCGATGTCCGTCTTGCCGCCCCAGCGGTAGGGCGAGGTGTCGTGGTAGTTGGCAGTGTTGATGACCGTCTCCCCGCTCTTGATGCGCGTCCGCAGGTCGTACTTGACGATGTTGCGCGTGCGCTCCTTGTTGTAGAAGACGGCGCCGTCGTAGACCACGAAGCCCGTGCCATCCACTCGGTTGGGCAGCCGGTAGGTGGTAGTGTGGCGCGCGGCCACATAGTCCTCCCACGAGGCGTACTCGGTCAGTGTGTCCGTGCGGTAGGGAATCCAGGGCATGACATAGATGCGGTCACCAGCCTGCAGAGGGTCCTTGCACCATGCGCCTGATTGGTGCTCCGACTCGTGTGTAGAGGTGGGCTCCAGCACCTTCTGCAGCGTCCCTGGGCACACGAAGACTGGGTCGGGCAGGTGGGGGCGAGATGGAGGAGCAGAGGCGAGAGGGGGGAGAGAGGAGAGAGAGGCAAGTTGGTCACAGGGCTGGGGGGGCAGGCTGTCCCCTCCTGCTGCTGCAGTCATGGTTGCTTGGTAGGGCTGGTGATGGGAAGGGGATTTCTGGGCTGGGACCCCCGCCCTGCCCAGCTGCCCCTGTCCCTGGAGCTGTCACCCTGGAGGCCATCAAGAGCAGGGTTAGTGCAGGGAGGCAGTGCCCTCTTCCCTTCCTGGCTGCTAGAGACCCCACAGGCTGGGGATGAGGAGGTTGACAAGACCCCTCCCAGAGCTGGTTCTGGTGTGATTGAAGGGGAGGGGGATTCTCCCTATGGCAGTGGCTCATGGCCTTGCGGTTCCAGGGATCAGCCCCTGGCCATTGTCCCTCCTCCCTGCCCCCATGGAAGAGCTGGGCTCCGGGGTCCCATCCTTCACCAACCACACCAGGACAGACTACTTGGTTTTACACCTTCTTCCTCCTGCAAAAGCTGCAAGGTAGATGGGTGTTTCCATAACCACTGTGGGCGTCAGGAGCATCCCCACTCCAGGGTTGGGGAGGCATGGGGCGCCAACTGTCCTGGAGCTCCTGATGCATCTTGTGCTCCCCACCCACCCAGTACCCCAGAAGTTGGTAGCCAAGGCAGTCCCGGCTAGGCTAGGGAGGAGTCCAGCCCCTCCCTCAGGGTGCCCAGCCCTGCCCCCAGCCGGCAGGGTCTCTCTTGGGATTGGGCTCAGCAGCAGACACTGACACTGGTGCACAGGGTGTGGGGGTGGGTGGGGACATGGAGAGTGACGGGACTCCCGGGAGAGTTGGGGAGGGGAGGGGGGAGGAGAGCTGCGCGGAGGGAAGAGAGACAAGGGGGGCTCCATGAAGTCCTGGCTCCGAGGGAGGCGCGCGGAGACCACCTGGGAAGAAAGGGTTAGCGCTGGCGGAGGAGAGAGGGGTGAGCAGAGAATTCACTCCAAGGCCCAGGCCCGACTGAGGGTCCCTTCGGGGGGCAGTCCCAGGTCCAGCTTGGAGGGGGCAAGGGAGGGAACCAGGTGCTAGGATAAAGACCCAGCCCACCCCCACCAGCCCCACCGCCTCCCCTTCCCGGACCCCGATTTACCTGCGACCATCCCCGGCTCGGGAGGAGGGACCAAGGCAGCGCTGATGTCAGAAAGGTGGGGGGCCCCGCCCCACCCCCCCATTCCCTGAAAAGAGGAAAACCTCAACTGCATCTCGTTGGCCACCGCTGGCCTGCCCGCCCTGCCCCTCACATCCCAGCACCACCTGCTGCTAGCCTATCCCTTACTGATCCAGCGGGTCAGTGAGGCCAAGCCCCTCCTCCTCCTCCTCCCAGAGTCCAGCGGGGCCAGATGGCCCTCTGTCCAGGAAGGCTGGCGCCCGCCTCTCCCCTGCTAGCAGAACAGGCTGATGGGGCTCAAGGTTGGGATGGGGTCTGCAGTGAATTCTCTGCTCCTGCTTGGCCTGTCACCAAAGCAGCTGGCCCCAAGGGGGACAGGGAGGGCTAGGACTTGGCAACATCCTGTGGGACAACCCCAGTGACCAGAGGGGCTGGGGCTGGAGCTGTTCCTTGGTGTCCACCTCCACCTTTGCTCTTCAGCAAGGGTGGGGCGTGTGCAGCCCTCCCTTCACAGCATGGGGACAGCTTGGCTCTGGAGTCCCCAGGCACAGAGCTGCCAGGAGCACATCCCCTCTGTGGAGGAGTGGAGCCTGGGGGCCAGGGCCGGCTGAAGCCAGACCAACCCTGGCTTGGGTCCTGGGGCCCAGCCACCTCCCTATTCCTGAGGTCCTGGCAGGTGGACCTGCACCCTTTGTCCAGCACACCTGGCCTTCACCCTCTTCCTCTGTGCCCCAGGGTCTCCCCTCTGCCCGACTGGGACCCCTGCCAGCCCTCCTGCCAGGTGTGTGGCAACCGGCCGAGTATTTGTGTGTGTGAAGGGGATGCTGGGAGGTCTCAGAGCCTGAGCGGCCAGAGGGGGTCAGGGGAGGAAAAACACAGTTAGAGGTCATCCCCGGGGAAGGGGGAGAGACGAGGAAGGGTCTGCCGGGGCCTTGGACAGCAAGGACCCCTCCCAGCACCAAGCTCCCAACACCTGCTCTCCCCTCCCCGTCCCAGCCCGCCCCGCAAGAGGAGAGATCCAGTGCTGCGGTTTCCAAGCCAAGGGCCTGCAAGAAGAGTGGCCGGTGCAGTGGGCGGAGCCTCCAGGAGAGAGCGGGAGGGGGAGGGCAGGGGGTAGCCGGGCAGCAGCCCAGGCCTGAGATGGGGGAGGAGTGGGATGGGGAGGGGAGCAGCTCAGAGGGACCCCCACCTCCCTCACAGGGGATGCTCCACAGACCACCGTAATTTCAAGGCCAAAAGGGTCCTAAAAAGCCCTCTCATCCCTGCCTCTGCCATCCACCTTAGAACTTCAATTTCTAGAAACTTCCTGGGGAGGAAATGATCATCTCCAATATGCCACCCTGGAAACCCTGAAGCCATAGCACCCCCCGCCCAAAAGAGAGCCCCGTCCACCTAGAGCTCTCTGCAAGAAATTACGGTGCCTGTGGAAGTCCCCGGTGCACGACTGTGCCCCCCACCCACCCACTCCCTGGTCCTCTGACCACAACAGCCCAGAAGAAACCCTGACTGCAGCTTTGCAAGTGTGAGAGAAACAGAACACCCGCCCGCACTCCCTCCCCAGGAGGCCCGCCCCCGCCCCTCCCCGGTGTTGGCAGGCTGCCCCCTCCCGGGGCTGGGGACTTCGGACAGTGGACAGCCCTCCCCGGACAGGACCCCAGCTGGCCAGGGCGGGGGTGGGGCGGGACGGGAGGACTGGTGCTCCGTGCTCCACAACAGCTCTGGGCCTCGAGACGCCAACCAGAAGATCTTAAGCCACAGGAGCCCAAGAAAGAGGAGGAAAACAAGGTGTCCCCTCCAGCCCACCTCCCTGAACCAGGAACACATTGCAGAAGGTGCCAGGGGCAGGGGGAGAGAAGGAAAGAGAGACAGGAGAGGGAGAGTTCACCCGGTGCCCAGTGGGGGGCTGGGGAAGGGAGCCCTCCCCCCGACCCTGGATGCTTACACACTTCTCCTGAGGGAGGCAAAAGAAGTGAGAGAGGCCAGGTCCCCGCAAAGGCCAGGGACCAGGAAGGAGGGACAGGAGAGACGAGAGAGAGGGAGGCAGAGAGGATCCTGCCCGAGCTCAGAGAGGAGCTGCCGCGGGTATCTGGAGGGTGGAGATGGCCAGGGCTGGCCCCACAGGGAGGACCCCCTGGGGAGGGGGTAGCGACTGGACCGAGTGGGGGTGGGGAGAAGAAAGGGCCGGGAGGGGGCGGGTCACATGAGTATGGTACGGGTGGAACAAAGTGTGAGTTAGGGGTTAGCATTGGCAACAGTGCGTTTACCTTTCTGCTCCACTTCTACTTTAAGCATCGGAAGAGAGAGAGAAAACAAATTGAAAAAAAAATGTGCAAGAAAAAAGAGAAAAAAAAAAGAGATTAAATTGCTTTTGTTTCTTTTCTGGCCACACGCCCCCTTTTCCTGTCCTTCCTCGCTCCTGCTTCCCCAACCCCTTCAGTAGCACCAGTTCAGCCCCCGCCCCCCAGTCCCTTCCTCTGGGGTAGAGTGGGGCCAGAGGGTGCTGGGGAGACAGTCAGAGAGGACGGGAGGACACAGGGAGGGGAGAGACAGAGAGACACAGGGCAGGGTGTAGGCAGGCCGGAGGAGAGAGCCCTAGTGCACCTAGGGCAGGCACCCAGTGCAGGCGGCAGGGGGGAGTCCCAGCTGGGGGTGGGCTCTGGTTGGGGGGCACCGGGGAGTGGAGGAGCCAGGAGGCTCCCCTCCCACCCCACCTGCTGCCCTCCTGCTAGAACCAGGGGCCCGGTAGGGTAAGGGGTTCAGTGTTTCCTGGGGCCTGGGCACCCCCTCCCAGCCAAGAGAACAGGCTGAACTCCTTCCCCTTAGTACAGGCCTCACCCAAGTCCAGCTGCCTTCCCGAAACCCTCACAGCTCAGAAACAAACACGGAGAGAGGGCGGCCGAGCCAGACACAGAAGGACAGAGAGGCAGACAGGCAGATGCCTCCAGGCCTCTGAGGCCGGGTGGGCAAGACAGAGGCAGAGAATGGGGGTGAAGGACACAGACTGGGCAGGACATGGGGGGCAGACACGCTCCCACACTCCCCTGGGGGCAAGCCCCAGGCTCAGCTTCTCTGCCCAGCCCACCCAGGGCCCGGGAGCCCAGAACTCCGCGCCTGCCCGCTGCCCTCGGTGGGCGGGCGGCACCTGGGGGAGGAAGGGGCACGGTTAGACTGTGCTCAGCTGCAAAGCAAAACAAGCGTTAGTCCAGTGGCCTGGGTCCTCACACATCCAGCGTCCCCTCCCCGTGGAAGCCCCTACCACCCAGCCCTGACCCACCCTCACCAGCACTGGAGTCACCCAGCCTCTGACGCCCAGGGCCGCGAGGCGCCCAGGCTGCTCCCCGCCGGGCTCGGCGTCCCTGGCCCCCTCTGAAGGCCTGAGCAGGGGCGGAGTTGGACTCCCTTCCCAGCGCCTCACCCAGAGCCTGGCACTCAGGACGTGCTCAGGGAAGGATTGGGGACAAGTTCCCAGCCCCCCTGGCTTCTCACTTAGCCTTGGTGCCCCTAAACTCCAGCCCCCTTCTTCTGGGGCCGGCAGCTAGCTCAGCTCAGCCCACCAGCTCTGCTTGCTCAGAGCAAAGCGTGGCCAGCCCTGCCCGGGACTCCCAGGGGGTCCCATGAGGCTGGCAGCTGCCCCTGCCCTGTGCCTTGTCACTGGATCCCGGTCTCTGGGGCTGGTGTCCCAGGACCACACTCACGGGCACTGAGCTCCAGGACACCTCTAAGCCCCCTTTTCACCAGGCCCTGAAGCGGTCTCCCTTTTTCTCGGTACCTGAGTGGCCTCTTCTTGCTTTGGACTCTACCTGGACCCGGGAGCTCTTCCTGCCCTGTATCTTGCCTGCTCCGGGAGGAGCTCGCCGTCTGTTGCTATTCCTATTTGTATTGCCATAGCAACAAGAGTGACTGGTACGAGGTCATGAGGAGTCACAACAAAACCATGCCTCGGTGTCCAGCACGCATCAGGTGCTAGGAAGTATGCGGTGGGGGGCCTCACAGGCAGTCCTTCACGAACCCTGTCTACAGATGAGGAAGCTGAGGCTCAGTGACGGGAAACCCCAGGGTCCAGGCCACACAGCTGTCAGCAGTAGCCCTGGGACACACAGAGGCTGACTCCCACATTCTCTCTACTCCTCAAAGCACTGGGGAAGCTGCTCACCCCCTCTCCCATAGTCACAGGTGAATGAGGAGGCTCAGCTGGCGGGGGAGCGTCGTACCATTACTGAGCACATCTGGAGCCAGGCACAGGGCTGGGCGCTGGGGGGTGAAGACGAAGCCTCTGCCTTCGGGGAGCTTACACTCGGCACTCAAAACTCTGCTCCTGGGAGCGGACCGTGTGGCCGGCCTGGGGCCAGGAGCTTCTCACACGATCTCCCGGACTCACGCCTCCTTCTGTAGAGGCCCAGAGAAATTAAGTCATTTGCTCCAGGTTTCAGAGCCAGAAAAGTCTAGAGCCCAGCTGAGCCTCGAGCCCACCTGACACCCCCCTGTTCTACGCTTGCTGCCTCCCCCTTCCCACCCTGCTGCCCCAGCCTCGGGGGTGGGCGGTGTCCCCAGTGCTGTGGGGAGGCTTCAGGGAGCAGATGGACATCCCCCTCAGACGTGGCTGAAGGCCTCTGGCGCTGAAAGGAAAGGGCGAGAACTAAAAGAAGAAAGTTACGGAAGCACATAAGTGATCCAGTTTTCCCTCAGCGGCGTGTGTCACCTGCGAGGAGAAATCAAAGGTTTGGGGGTAGGAAGGCCAGGGTGGGAGGGGAGAGGAGGGAGAGTCACAGGGTCTCCTGCTCCCCTGCCCTCCCTCACTCAGACACCCTGGTGGCCCTGCCTCCTCCCCCCTCTGCCTGGAGACCCTATCTCCAGGTTGGCTCTGTGAAGCCAGGTGAGGAGGAAGAGAGGAAGGGGTGATGGGGAGGAGGGAGGGAAGAGAGAGGGCAGGAAAGGAGGGTTATGTTTAGGGTGGGGTGCTGAGGAGGAGAGACCCTGTCTTTGTCTGCTCCCCTTATCCAGGTGCAAGACAGCCAGGCTCCTGGCTTCCCAGATCCCTTCCTCAGGCTTCCTGAGGGCAGCTCTCAATCCAACATGGCAGCACTTCCTTTGCAGACAGGAAATGCTATCGTTGTAATGGGCAAACCAACCAGGAGATAGGAATCTGTCAAAGTGGTCTCCCACCCTTCACACCAGCTCTGTCACTAGGTCTCAGAGGGTAATCTGCATCTAGGGGTAGAGTCCAGCTTCCATGACTGGGAAGGGGCAGGACTTGGGGCATGTGGGGGAACGTGAGAAAGGACAGGAAGTTGAAAGAGGAAGGGAGGTGAGTGAGAGGGAAAAGCAGGTGTATGAGGGAGGTCGGAAAGGGAAGCGATGGAAGAGGGAGGCAAGAAATTAAAGGAGTGACAGAGTGTGCCAGGAAGGCACAGGAGGGCTTCAACAGGCGAGGGACAAGGAAGCAGTGGGGTGAGGGGGCAGGGTAACGGTTGAAAAAGGAGCGGTCTGTGGGGCAGGGGGAGCAGGCCCAGTGTGGATGAGCGTGTGGAGGAGAGGTGCGCATGTGAGGGAAGGGAGGGGCAGGCTGGCTGTCACCCTGTGCCTGACCCTCCCAGATGTGCACGCGTGTGCTGGAGAGGGCACCTCCTTGCTGCTGCTCCGTGGGGAAGGGCCCGCGTTCGTTCGCATGAGGAACAAGATGACTCACTGTAGGGCACACAGTCGTACTGCACCTCCAGGTACTTGTAGGTCCCAGGACAGGGGTCAGGAAAGGCGTCGGAACCAGCGACCACCACACACTGGGTGCGGTTGTTGCACCTGCGGAGGAGAGAGGAGGAGCTAGAGAGGAGCAGCCAGACCTGGGGTGGGGGTCCGGTCGGGAGAGGAACGGACACCTTCACATCAGGAAGGTGCAGGGGAATGAGGCCAGGCCTGGAGGTGCCCCCGGGCGCTGCCTCCTCTCAGCCTCAGCATCATGCTCAGGGCTGGGGTGGAGGAGTCACCCAGAGCCACCCCTCAGCACTCTCGTCCTGGCTCTGGCTCCATTCCGTCCTTGGAGTTTTTCTCTAGATTAACTGTTAAAAGTCCCTGCGCCGTTCACGGAAGGGAAACACACGTGAAGCGGGTCTGCCAGCACGCTCGCTGTCAAAGGGCCCCGGGGTGTGGCTGTGTAGCCGAGCACACCTCAGGAACACGTCCCACCCTCGGGCAGTGCTCCTGGGACGATCTGGGCCAGGACGGCCAGGAGAGATGCTCAGCCCCCGCCCTGCCGGCTTCTCAGGGAACCCTGTTCCGCAGCAACAAGAGCTGTTTCTCACTGTCGCCTGTACCCTTTCCTAAGAGAGAAAGTCCCCATTCCGTAGAGAAGGCCAGGTCTAGGCTGGGCAGGAAGGGATCGAGAGGCTTCATGATAATGTGGAGCAGATGGAGCCCTGTTTCTCCCTGTAGTCCCGTCCCTAACCAGTCACTGGGAAGAGCTAAGTGTCTTGGTGGGAGGCTGGGCAGGAACAGAGAATGGGAGGGTCCAATCACACTGGCCTCAAAAGTAGTGAGTTTCCATGTCACCCAGCAATCCCCTGCTAGGTGTGCACCCCAGAGGGCCTAAAGCAGGGGTTCAAGCAAATCCTAGAGACACGCTCACAGCTGCACTACCCACATCCACCAAAAGAGGGAGACAACTCAACGTCCACCAAGGGACCAAGGCATGAAAAGTGGCCCATCCAGGCAACGGAATATTATTCAGCCATTCAAAGGAAGGAAATGCCGATCCCTGCTGTGACAAGGAGGAAATTTGACAGCGATACTGAGTGAAAGAAGCCAGACACCAGGACCACACAGTCTGTGACCCTGTTTACATAAACCGTCCAGAACAAGGCCAATCCACGGGGAGAGGAAGCCGCTCCGCTGTCTGGAGCGGAGGGTAAGAGGTAATGTGCAGGTGATAGAATGTCCCTTTTGGGGTGATGGAATGTTCTGGAACTAAGTCGAGAAAGGGCTAAGAGTCTTATGATAAATACAAACACTGCAAATGTACTAAATGTCATTGAATATGTTCACTCAAAATGGTTGATTTTGATCAGCTAAAAATAAAGAGAGCTGGGGGTGTAGTTCAGTGTCGGAGCGCCTGCCTGGCATATGGGATGCCCTGGGTTCAATTCCCACCCCCCAAATAAACTAAGCAAATAAATGCATAAAATAGTTAGTTAATCTCACGCCGCCTTACTTAAAAGGATAAAAACCAAAGTGCTCCTGGCACTTCCAGCTAAGATTCCCTACCCCAGCTCCTCCAGAACCGGAGGGACCCGTGACCAAGGAGAGCTGGGCAGGGGTGCCGAACAGAGCTGGGCTCCGGGCGCAGAGGCACGGGACGGGGGAAGCAGGTGTGCAAGGTCTTCCCCACAAGGAACCGTCAGGTCAGCTGTCCTGGGTGCCTCTCAGAGCTGGCAGCTCCACCCGTCCCCCTGACTAATCCAAGGAGTTTGTGGATTCTGACGGCAGAGCAGCCGGCCGGGGGCTGAGGAACGGTGCAGAGATGGCGCCACATCCCCTACACGTGGCTCAGGAGGCCCACCACGCTCCCTGGGCCCCAGGGACCCCAGGGGCTGTGACCAAGGCAGGCTCTGTGCCAGGAGTGGGGACGGTGGGGGCCACCAGACCCGAAGCTGGTGCTGCGTGGATGAGGTCAGTGGGGAGAACTGGAGGGCGGGGGACAGGACCCCCAGGAGGAGCAAAGGCCGAGGCTGGACGGGCCGCGTCAGGACACGGGAAGGGAGGAGGGGCGGGACTGGGGTCAGAGTGGTGGCAAGGATGGAGGCAGCCCCAGCCAGCCCATCTGCCCCAGCCCCTGACTGCACCTGTCACCTCCTGACACTCCTGGAGGCGCTCCATGACCCTTCCCCAGCGAGCTGGCCCGGCCCGCCCTCCCTCTCCTCCTAGACTACAGGGCCTGGCGTGGACCCCGATTCCCTCAGGCATTTGGCAAACATTTAGTGAGTGCCTGCTGTATACCTGGCCATGGGCTCAGCGGCGATGGACAAAACTCTCCTGTCCCCAGGGGAGAGCCAGTGAAGGCAGCAGAAACGCCACACAGAGGGACATATCAGAGGAAGCCAGGTCGGCGGGCAGCACCAGGGGCCAGGGCCGGGCGGGAGGCTGCGGGCTCTGCAGGTAAGGGGCTCCGCAAGCCTCGCTAAGGCCGTTAGGTAAGGAAGCCACAGTAAGGGACAGCGAGGGCTGTTTGGGTGTCAGGGAACCGCATTCCAGGCAGAGGGCACAGCAAGTGCAAAGCCCAGAGGGACCCCGGGCCGGAAGCTGCCCGGTGCTGGTGGGGAGCAGGGCGGCATGGACATAGCCAGGGACGGTGGCCAGTGGGGAGCAGCGAGGGGCAGCAGGGGAGGCGGGGCTCCAGGGGCTGGGCAGGGAAGGGTGGGGTCTGGCTGATCTTGGGGCTCCGGCCGGGCCCTGACCAGCAGCCAGAGGGCGGTGAGGAGAGCGGGCGCTCCCGGGGCGCTGGGGAGAGGGGGCCTGGGAGTCGCAGGAAAAGCTCGGGCCCTCGGTGGACTGGCGTGGGTTAGGGTGGCTTGTGCAGTCCTGCTCACATGGTGCCCCCGCCTGGGACACCCCAAGTCATACAAATGCACACTCAAAGAGACCCCGCCAGCCACACACACACACACACACACACACACACACACACACACACAGTCCCACACGGTCCCTCACGGTCACACGGATTCAGCTCTGATATGTCCTCCTGCCGACAGGCGCGATCCGGCAGGCTCAGCACAGATGCGCTGAAGCACGTGAGCCCAGACACAGGGCACAGTCACACACACCTGCTCACAGGCCCTGTCACCCCCAGACGCACACTCACACGAGCACACACAGACACACGTCAAGGTGACAGACACAGAGGCTCGGAGACACAGGGCCGCACCCTGCCGCAGTCACCCTGGCGCACACTCCCAACGCGGGCCTCAGGTGTCCACCCCGGGAGCCTGCCTGCCCTGGGGTCTGCCCCGTGGCTCTCGCCCTCCGCGTGGACGTCCCAGCCAGTCCTCCCTGGCACTTCCTGTGCCAGCTCCCACCTGCCCGGCCACTGGGGCTCCTGGAGACGGCAGGAGGGTGGGGGGGCCTGAGCCCATGTTTGTGGGCGTGGGTCCGTGGCGTGGACAGGCCAGCGCGGGGAGCCAGGGCAGGTCTCACTGGCTGTCTGCGGAGGGCCAGCCCCTAGCAGGTGCTCAGGAGACAGGTGTGAGTGCGAGAGGCCACGGCGGTGCCCAGCGGGTGGTGGTGGGGACGCGGGACACTCACCTCTGCGACATGATCTTGAAGGCGTCCGGCAGGTAGCACTGCACGTTCTCCATCTGGAAGGGGTCGGCATCGCAGATCTTGTCGTCGGTGCGCCCGTAGTTGGCGTTCTCCACCATGATGACGTCGCTGCCCGGGCACCGCAGCTCGATGGGGTAGCCTTCGCACGCCAGCTCCCGGCGCATCAGCCCGAACGGGAGCCCGGCCCGGCTCAGGCCTGTGGGGAGGGCAGGGCGGCGTCACACTGGGGCCTGCGGTCCCCGTCCCCGGGAGGCACCACCTCCAGTTCTGCGGGGTCCTGGAGCTGGCGCTAGGAAGGTGCTCCTCGCGTGCCGGCCCAAGGGGAGAACCTGGCCCCAAGACTGTGGCCGTGCCCTCCAGGTCCCTGGAGCCTCCCCTGATGGACAGGAAGCACCAGTTGTCCTGGGGGCCGGGGGCCAGGGGCGAGTTTTGCTGTTATGGGCTGATTTGTGTCCCCCTCCTCCCATATTCACACGCCCAAGTCCCCATCCCCAGGACCTCAGAAGGCGACAGATCGTGACTGTCTTTACAGTGGTGATCGAGTTAAAACGAGGCCACTGGGGTGGGCCCGGGCCCAGCAGATACTACTGGGGTCCTTATAAGAAAGGAGAGTCTGGGCACAGAGACCCAAGGCAGGCGTGTGAGGACCCAGGAGAGGGCAGCCATCGCAAGCCAGGCCGGGGCCTCGGGAGGAACCAGCCCTGCCCACCCCTTCATCCTGGCCTCCTGGCCTCCAGAGCTACGCGCGGGCCTTTCTGCTGCTGACCACGCGGATGTGGTGCCATGTTCCAGCAGCCCTAGCAGACGAGCCCACGGCGATGCCACTTGGGCTGGGGGTCAGGTGGCACGGTGTCGGCTGGCCACGTCTACATGACGGAGCCCCAATAAAGACCCAGCACCAAGCTCCACCAAGCTGCCCTGGTCGGCAGTGCACTGGGCACACTGTCACGCCCTGTGACGGGGAATCAGTGCTGTCCACAGTCCCCTGGGAGGGACACTGCAAGCTCCATGCGTGGAACTTTCCTGGCCTCTTCTGGGCTGGTCTGACTGTCCACAGTGTGGGCTTCCGGTGAGTTCCGGAGAATTCTGTGAACCCTTCTAGTGAACTACCAGACCTGAGTGTGGTACGGGGGTCCCCAGAATTGCAGCTGGTGTCAGACGGGGTCTCGGGAAGAGCAGGGGAACAGGCCTGTGCTCAGGTTTCTGGAAGAACCAGAGACTGGCTTTGCCGCTTCCCAACCAGGAACGCTGTGGCCCGGGAGTCCCACCCTGGGCGGGTCTCAGAATTTGAGAGCAGGAGCCTTTGGGGCACCGTGCCCACCAGGTCCTTCTGCTGCATGCTGAAGTTCGGACAGCCACTGCTGGGCCTCCACGGGCCCATCTTCCTGGGAACCCTCCCGGTCACCGTGATGATGAGGGAACAGGAGCACACCTTGGGCAGGTGGGGTGGCATCCTGCTGGTCTGGGATCAAGAGCTTGGACTCAGGATCCAAACAGCCTGTCTTGAAATCCTAGCTCAGCGGCTGCCTGCTGCCTGGCCGGTGGCCCCGTGCCACCCAAGTCTCTGGGCCTCTGCCCTCCCCCACCAGGAGCAATGGAAACAATTCCCCTCCCCAGGACCTTCTCGAGGGACCAGGGTGCTGTGTGTGCGTGTGGAGGGGGAGGGGAAGGGTTCAGACTGTGCGGGCCAGAGGACAC